CAGAAAATAGCATGCAATTCTTTTAAGCCTAGACATACACGCCAGAAGTGCCATCCAACCTCTGTTTTGGCATTTCTCAACTTCTGAGTGTTCATACTGAGACTAAGCATCCCACTACTTAGACGGCTCATGACAAAAAGCAGTGTTTTAACATTGGTGTTAATTTTTCCCCTAAGAAGGGTTAACTCCAACTAAACACTACGCAATAAAGACAAAACATTTTCCCAATAAAACTGAAGTCATTTCTACTCCGTACAATAAGCTCAGGAAGCAAAATAAAAATCTATCTGCTTCGTATGAGGTCAGTCAGGCTACGGATGGTTATTTTACATCTGAATATTAAAAACATATGCTTCTCTGTAGAAGTTTTTAGAAAACCTGAGCCTGGTGGGGCTCGGCCTTCCTCAAGGAAGGCTGAACACCTTCAAACCCCAGAGACCAGAGGACACGAGTCACCTCAGGAGGGGGTCGAAGCAGTGCACGACTGGAACTCTGTACGATGAAAACTTATACTGTTTAGACAAAACGATGAACTTCATTTAGAATTTAAAATTTAATCTTTAATCATTTCTTATTTACAAACTAATCCTAACAATGAGGTAATCTATCCACAGCCCCATTGGTTTTTGTCTCATAACTCATACATATTCCATACACAATGCTAATTAGTTTGTATTATAGCAAAAATGTTCTTAATAAACAGAAATGTGAAACAACTTCAGGGTTCCTTTTTGATTATGCAATAGCCCTGTAAAATAATCTTTAGGAGGGGCATTTTACCGCACATACACCAACTGGGCTACGTGCACCAGAAGCGATAGGCCTGTGCCTCAACGCTGCCTTAGGAGAGGCGAATCACATCCCTGCTGCACTACAATTCCTGATGCTGTTTTCAACCAGCCTCTGCATCATTGGGAATACTTTCACTCACTTTCTCTGATTTTACAAGAATACTTCTCCATGTATAAAGAGAGCAACAGCTACAACAGGGCTCTGGTCTCAGGTGGAGCCTCTAAATTGCATTTTGGTGGCAGCGTATCAGGTTAACAAGCACTGGGTACTAGGCAAGTCACAGGCGTTGACGACCGAACTGGCACCAACTGTGACCAGAGGTGACAAAGAAAACTTTATTTCACAAAGCTATTAAAAAAAAAAAAAAAAAAAATAGATAATGTTTCAATTTTTGGTTGGTTTTAGAAATTTGACTTTGACAAGAAATTTAAAGTGTTACATAGTGATGTAATTAAAGCATCCTTATGACAGATCGTTTACTTAAAATGTTCCATTTTGGTTATGAACATCCTGGATATTCACTCTGATACAGTATTCATTTGACCAGTAAAAGGATGTAAACAGTAGTCTGGTTTTGCAGATTATCTATTTATGAACATATTTATGCTCCAACATAGATTTTAAAGGAGCCGAAAGCAAAAGAATCCATCCTTGACGGTGTATACCAAATGGAGAGCAACACGGTAAAAATGCCAAACGCTACATATTTTGCAAGCTACCAATATTTACCATCGGTCACAGAGTACTATCTTCTCATGCAAGCACGCCACAATGAAGAAACATCTCTATAAGGGTAAAACAAACAGCATTCAGAATTTCCGAAAGCATTCTTCCAAAATTATTGCACTAGATTAGATTGCCTCATCAACAGGGCCAGAGGCCATTTACACTATTTTCCTTTTTTTTTTTTTTTACATAACAGATGAAAGGATTACAGAAAGTTTTCTGGGGCCAAATTTGGAATTAATGATGGGAAAATTCTTTTGCTAATCCCCCATCTCTCCCACTGCTAGCAGACTCCTGAGGCTGGAAAAAAACAATGTCTCCTGGTACCCCGCTTCTACTTTGCTCATCCATGCAAAATACAACGCTCAGAAGGTGTGAGAAGGACCCTCAGCTTTGCACAGTGCCACAAAATCTCAAGCACAGAGCTACACCGAAAATCGGAGTAAAGAACGACATGAGACTCCAATTAAAACTTGGATGCATCGCAACAAAATCAAAGGATGGGGCTCATCTGCTCAGGGCAGATGTCTGCCAAGCAGCCACCTCCACCCCAGCCCAGGCTCGCTTTACCATCGAGCGGTGGGGGAAAAGCGGCTTTTCGGGGACCCCCGGGCCCTGCCCCGGTGCGGCCGCGTCGGGCAGGCTGGAGGGAGGATGCCCTCTTACAAACCTCGAACATCTCTCCTAGGCACTGCCTGTCAGGCCACCAGCGAAGCAAAAATAGATACTGCCAAGTAACTACCCTTCCAAAACCAAAGTTTAATCATTTTTCAGTCATTTAACAAACACAAAAGAGTTTACACTTACCAACTCTACTGGAGAAGTAAACTTTGCATAATTAATCGGGATGCCTCCCATACCGGTGCATCTGCAGTTGCACAGCTACACCAACTGGCACTCAAGGGAAAATGCCTCGGGCCACCTCGAAGAGCTCGAAAGTGCAAATATCTCAACCCAACAGCGAGCCTGAGCTGCCAGAGGAGGAAAAAAGCAGGCCTGAATAACAGGTTGTCTGGAAAATCAGTACAGCTACCCAGCTCCCGAAAGTCTGTTTCATTAACTATCAGGCATTATCAGCTACTTCTGAATTCAGCTGTATTTTATTGCAACATCAGCCCAAGCGAAGGGCACCTCATTAGCTGCAGAAGGTGGGAATGTCCATAGCAGTCCAGGAAGTGGGAGTCGAGCTTCCCACAGAAACAGGCAATTTGATGGAAAATCTGACTCAAATAAAAAAGATATACTGATGCAGCATTTAATGAAGATGAACTTCCCCTGCCTCCCCACAATACAGATGATGCCATTATCACTCAGCACTAGGAGAGAAAGAGATTCCAAGTAAGGGGAAATTACCGAGCAGTTATCCTCATCAACCTGACCGTGTAAGTGACACGAGATTGGCAGGGCGCCTGAGAAAAGTCTGTAGATAGTTAAGCACAGGGGATGAAAGAAGATGTGCAAAGGGAAAGCAGCCCCTGGAAAATACTGCTAGGGATTTCAGCTTTTCCAGTGTGACAGCGGCAACGGAACACCCAACCATATCCCACCGTATCCACAAAAAAAAATAAAAAGGAGGAATTGCATAAAGTCAGAGAAAACGTGGGAGTTCCACTTGCTCGGTGGTGATGAAGCCGAGTGCTGAGGGATCTGGCTCCCCGTCTGTCAGAATCAGACTATTTCCCACCTTTTTCAGACTGCTCCAAGATCTACAAACAACGCACTCTACACGGCTGGCAGGTTTTACTCTCGTGATTGTAGGACAGTGAGAAGCAGAGGCAACCCGGCATCTTCTCTTCCCCCAGGATCTGGCCACAACAGGCAATCCTCACCACTTTTTACTCTAAGCACTTGGGAAAGTTTCCATCTTTTGAGAAACAGTTGCCTATAGCTCAAAGCAGAGCTCACATGAAAACACTTAGAATTTTGCTCTAGGTTTTGTAACTATCTGTTAGACAAGCACATCAAACACAACTGGCATTATTTGCATTATTTGTAAAAAGGAGGGTTAAACACATTCCTAATTTCACAGATGTTTCAAGGCTTTATTGCTGGAAACAGTCCGGCATGGTCATGCAGAAATGCAATGGTACCTTCAGGGTTCCAAAAACATAAGGATTTGGGGAACCCTCCCCGACTCCCAACGGAGGGAAATGGGACACAGACCATATATTTTCCTGATGAGAAACCAAAGTTTCACAGAGAATTAGTAAACATGCTCATGCTTCCCACCTGCTTCCTATTTAGAGCAAAAAAAGGAATTAATATGACTTTTTAAACAATGGTTAATAGAAGAAACCTAGGAGACTGAGATGTCTAATTGAAAATGTCTTTACTCACACGAGGCAGAGGATCAAAATACGACAAGACCACTAAGCATAGTTTCTCCCAGCTGTGCAAACCATTTCTTAACAATCTTAAGATGAATAAACAAAGACATATTCTAGACATTTCATATCCCTCCTGGATTTAGGCACGTATGCAAGGCGAACATGAGAAAGCCATCCTCTTCCTTCCCTCTCAGCCGGAACAGAGCTCCCATAGAACTTCATGCTACGTGACTGTTAATACAGGAACCCCGCCACTCTGAGCGGACACACAGAGAAACACAAGGGGAGAAAAAGATAGGTCCAGGAAGAAGGCGATTTAAGGGTATCATTTATTAGCAAGTAAAAGGACATTTACCTTCTCAGTGGTTAAGTACAACACAACCCAAGGATAAACCATATGGCTCAAGCCTTTGTGCAAGGGAGAAAGCTGGCAGGGTTCCACGGCTCTAATTGAACTATTACCATATTGTAAGGAATGAAAAAGTCAGAGAGACTGGAGGATCTGCTCTCCTAGGGACAGTTTCTGTCATGCGAACAATTAAGTGAGTAACAAAGCATATTCAACAGGAGAGCAATTGCACCATTAGGATCCTGGCTCATTTTAAAGAAAATAGGTACTCTTCTACTTCAATATCGCACTTAATTTGATCCTACATTCAATGCCATGAAACCTTCAAAACCCAAGTCATTTGCGGCAAACAGTACGACGCTTCTTTAGTCACAGGCTCGGGACTTTTCCATGTGGTTAATAAAGACAGACACAGAACAATCACACTCAAGTGAAACCCAGCAACACTGAAAAGCTTACCACAAAAACTGTCATACAACTGAAAAACACAACACATCGCATACAAAATTAATTTTGTCCTTTGTACAAACAATCACCAATCTTTTCTTTCAAAAGGCAGGGTTGATAAATATATACCAAGTGTTATGTATTGTACACGCACAACAGGGTATGCAGTGAAACACAAGAAAGCCACCAGGTCATGAACAGAGAGAATCTGTAGTGGTTGTTCACACCTAAACCTTTACAGTATTGTCTTCTTACTCTGCGGGCAGAAAGCAGTGCAGTTCTACGAGGAGTGGAAAAAAAGAAATTGCAATCGTACGTAAAAATGAAGCAAAATGAGTCTCTATGAATCTTGTTCTTACCATTCTGTTCATCCAGCTCATTCCCAATTTCCTGCCCCATTTGCTTTTGCCGGGATATGATTGAAGAAAGAGCATCGAGTCCAGCATCTTGCTCTGTACCAGAAAAATATATAAAATTTTTGAAAAAAATTGCTGATACGCCAGGCTATGTATCAGAAAAGATGCAGAAGTGAAGAAAAATATCTATTCTGTGCTTAAAGAGTTAAAACATGTTAAGAAAAATACATCAACAGAACACGAAAATGAATCCTTAGGGCAACAGCACTCTTAAAATAATGTGAATGATGGGTAATTAATTTGTCTGCTCTGGCTGGGACATCTAGCTGAGGGTCCCAAAAAAAAAAAAAACCCCATCCAAGAATTCAACACTCAGCTGTTACTCAATCATAAATGCAGGAGATTTTCTGGCACGCCCACAGAGATCCCTGATTAGCCTTTTTAAATTTTCCAAGAAACTTTTTAACATGAATACAAACAGGTGATGCAAATACCGAAGAATTCAAACAGATTTTTAAAGCTGCAAGAGAATACAGAGTGCTTGGAAGAGCCTAAGGCAGAGGGGACATGGAACACTCCTTTGTTAAGGGCCACGTCACCTCCGCTGTTCCAGGTCCCAGGCACCACGCAGCCCTTCAGAAGGGTCATGACCAAAGCATGCAGCTCTCCTCGCCCAAGGTTGTCAAGAAGCAGAACAAGAAGAGATGCTGGAGGCTGGACTGTCACCGCTCTGACAAACTGCAAAGCAGCGATGCCGCACACAGCAAGACTGCAGCCGGCTGCCGGCCAGGAGCCAAAAATTGTACAGGATGGGCAGAACCCCCTTCTCTTCACCAGGATGAAGGTCTGCCACCCAACCCCTCGTTCAGCCTCCCAGGGGACACCCATGGTGTAATCAAAAAATGGAGCTTGAGGTTTCTGCTGGACCATCCAAACAGAGCTCATGCCATTCTCCTGAACTGTAGCTATAAATGTTGTTCCACATGCAGACTGAAGCGGGCCTTATCTGGAGACAGATTTCTTTGGATCAGTTCCAATACTTTTAATTGCACAGAAACACAATTGCCACATGAAACACCTGATGCCCTGAGACTGAGGTTCTTCAACACTTCCAAAGTCAGAGATTCCTTACAGATGCTGAGGGCCAAAATCTAAAGACCCTTTTCAGATTACTTAATTCTCACTTCCTTCCAATTCAACCACATTTCTAATGCACCCTGGCCTGAAGAACAGCAGTAATCTCATTAATTGCACTGAGGGTAATGGTATCTCCACTGCAAACCAAATCCATGATTATCAGCAAAATCAGGGATGCCCCATAAGGTCTTTGACAGTTTGATATAAGAAGATGCTTCCAATTAAGAATATTGCAAACACAATACTGCTCCTGCAAATACATAAAACAACCACCTGAACTATTACATTTGACATCTCCAGATAATCGAAGCTTCAGCACAGGTTACTGTATCAACTTTCTCATGAGAGCTCCTCTCAGAGCCCTAGCGATGCTCATAAGAAACAGAATCACTCTTGTACCTTCTATGATCCTGCGCTGCTGCTGCCTGAGATCATCAAAGCCAAGCCCTCTGGTTTCCTCAGCTTCTTCCAAGAGCCACGGGTTGGTCACACCTCGCTTGACCCCTCCCGTCATTAGGCTAGATCTGAAAATAACTTCAGTAAATTATTTTCAACACAAAACCCACGCATCGTATAATTTGCACTTGCAAGACTGGCTGACAGAGACAGAGGCGTATGTATGTGTGGCACTCCACGCGATTCTCTGCAACCACAGAACAAACCAGCCCAAAAGAATGTGACGATCTCCAACAACAAACACATCTTGCAGGCTCTGTAACACCTCCTAGAACTGGTAAAGCAGGGAGAGAATTAGTTTTGCAGTGAACAATTAAGCTGCATGGTGAAATGCATACCACATATTGTGTAACATATTCATGTTAAATATTGTTTGCATGTAGAAGACACAGCATTCAAAACTGCTACAAAAAGAACAGGGTTACTGGGAATACACATATTATTCATGTATTTGCTATGTGATCAAAACACAAACTCACAAAAACACTGAGGTACAACCTGAAAGCTTCGAAGAGCAAAAGGATCAACACATGAATACAGATGCAAATCAGATGAGACTAGTAATTTTCTGCAATCCTGACCAAACCTCACAGGGAACATTTCTGCATTGCAAAGACTGCAGCTGGAAGGTACAGTTACTCTGCTGCATTTCCCAGTCTGGCCTCGACATGAAAAAGAAGCCAGGCACACACGCTCTCAAATGAAAGAGTAATCAAATTCTGGGTTTTCTTTCAAAAGAATTATGACTCAAGGTTGTTCGCATTATAGACACTTCCCTGGTTACAACGGAAAACAAGTTTTTCATGTCCAGAGCACATAAATTCAAGTACTAAAATGAAATGCCACTTAAGTATTTTTTTCTCAATACCAGATTTCTGCTTTCCGCCTTTCAGCTTTTCATTGGTTTCTCCTACAAGAAAAACAGTCTGAGACAGGCTGTGAGACCCCTGAACTCCAAACTGCAGCTCAGATTTGGGGTAAGAGTCATCATAACATCGGTTCCTTGATACCAGTGCAGAAGTAAGAGGTTTTGCTTTCTGCTTTGCTTTTTTTAAACTCCATATTTTATTCTCATTTTACCTTTGCCCTGTTCTTTCCCAAAGCACCCCCACAAACAAAACAAGAACAGAGAGCACTTTTAGGATCTTGCAAATTCTCAAAACTTTTTAATTACATTAAGACTTAGTTTTTGGTTTTTTTTTAATTGAGTCCAGGTCACTTCTCAATGAGATACACTGAGACACACATATGCTGGAAATAATTTTGTGGTCAAAACCCTGTATCAAAAGAAGTGAACTCTGCACAAGCATCAGTGGAGCTGGGAGTTCACGCACCCCGCCGACATGGGGCTCGGCTCCAGCTCCGCCGAGGGACGACGGAAGTTTTACAGCAAGGGCATTCAAGCAAAACCCAGAACTTGTGTCTAAGAGTTCCTCGCGGAATTACGGTGAACTGGAGACATCTCCTGGCCGTGAGATGAATCAACACTGCCGAAAAATAATTCCTCTCCACCTTGTGAGTTCTGGGGCATCCACAAGTTACAGGCACGTACGCCCTCGTCTGCATGCAGGGCACTGCACACTTCATATCGCATCCACAGCAGTTACATTCTAGAACACTTAACTTCTCACTTCAAATTTTAACATATCCATTCAACTTCATCTCAAGGCAAAGAATTTGTCAGAATAAAAAAAAAAGTTGGGTGTTTTTTTTTTTTTGCTGCAGGACTAAAAAGCACTTACTGTAAATCACAACCTCTCACTTCACCACCCTGACGAAACTGGAACATGGCTCCAGGGCAGAACCAGACTGCCCCGCCGTGCCCACGACCAGTGGCCGTCACGGGCAGCGTCTGAAACAGAGGAGCTGGGATCCTTCTGTACCCCAGCCTGCTGCACCTCCATTAAAACTTACCTGTATTCCCCAAGGTAGGGAATCGGGCTTGGTTAGACAAAGATACAGACCCCTGAAATACAGTTTTACACATTACCTAGCTTTCTGCATTGCTCTGGGGGATTAAACACGCTCTTACATTTTCTAGTCTCACAACTGGTACCAGTTTCACAAAGCTAAATGCAATGGAGGTATTACACTTCTGAAGACGCAAAGATCATCACAGCCCGCTCAGTTCAGCGGTTCAATTAGCAAGCACACAAAATCTAGCGTTAACAACACCTGACAAAATTACTTAAATAAAGCAAATGGAACACAAAGTTTTTTGCTTGCTAAAAAGAGCACAACTATTTCTGCCTGTTAAAAAAAAAAGCCAAGGCAAGCAAATCTGAAATAATTTGCACCGCTCCCTCTCTCCCTCACCCCTTCATAATCTGCCCTGTTCGTGTAGGTTGGGTCATGACAACTGGTCTGCTCGTTACAATAATCTTTTTGACATGTTTGGTAACTACCTTCCCACAGAACACAGCATAACTTCCTCCTTCCTCTGATCTTACCACGTTTCGCTTTGGTGGTGTGAAGATTAAAGCTTATCCAATTAGCCACCCACTGCCTCCGCCGAGTTAATCACGTAAATCTTTGAAACCGTCACAGAGCAGTGGAGTGTGCAGATAGCTTTTGATTACAGGAGCAGATTTAACTAATTACGAGGCTTAGCAATGCACCCAAGTATAAAAGATGATGGGGTTTAAAATCAGGGAACTATGTCACTACTTGACAAGGGAGGGCTTATCTTCCAGCAGGCATTGTTTCACTGATAATTCTCATAAAACTTCCCAAGTAACTTAGATTAGTCAACCAGCACTTACTTTAGGCCAAGGCCACACATCAAGGCTTAGGGCTTTAGCAGACTGATCAGCGAGACTGAATTTTAAACAAAACCTGGGTCATATGACAACTGGTTGCACGATCACTTGAACATTCCCTTAACGATACAGTTGTACAGAGGGGCTCTTTGAAGAGCCCAGGGCACCTCAGCTTGGCTCCACAGGTCAATCTCCAAGGCAATGGTGAAGAAGTAGGGGTATTCTCTCACTTACGATTCAATTGCTCACACTGGCAGGCAGTATATTCTAGGAAGGTCCAAGTTAGCAAATACAACAAGTATAATTTTAACATACACAGCAAAAGCCCTCTCTCCCTCCAAAAAAAATGGGAGAAGCCACATGAGCACAAGCACTTCCAAATCCCCTCCAGGTACCTTCCCAGGAGGAGACGTTCCCCCAGGCACCGCTCCCGACGGGAAGCCTACAGAAGGAGCAGCATTCCCCACAGCTGGCAGAGGATTTCCCTGGTTCCACCAGCACTAGGCCCGAGAGCAGCACATCTCACGGTTGAGGAAATGCCGTGCTGCTCTTGACACCATTCACCTGCGATTCAGTTAACTGGTCCCACTGGCTTCGATGACTGGAAGGTGCACAAGCCACCTGCCGCACGGGACGCCGGCCAGCCGATTTGCAGAACACAGGTCCTCTGCGGCCCCTCTGGAACCACCAGTTCCTGTCCACAACCCAGGGACGGCAGCTTCTGCACTCGCGCGGCAGAACGAGCGGCTCCCAAGCACCTCGTGCCCACGGAGGAGCAGCACGAAGCAAGCCACCAGCTGGAAGTGTGCCTGTACGGCTGTGCCAACACGCTGCTCTCGGAATAACACCTCCACTCCAAACGCTGAGTGACAGGGTGGTGGGGCTGTGGAAAGAAACTACACAGAGGAGATACTCCTACACCAGGGCAAGCGACCCCAGCGAAGGCTGTAACTTTATAACAAGGTTTACACTCACATTTTCTTTCGCAGTCATCTCACTTTCCTACATAAACTCTCAAAACATAGACTGCAATAAACATTTCCTTGAGAGATCAACCTTGTTATCAAATATTACTATCTCCTTTCTACACCTTCCCTTATTTTCTATGCAAGATTGTACATAGCACAATACTAAATATATTATAAAACCATTTATATAGTCCTCGTTGAAACAGCCTCACCTCTACAGCCCACTTGCACTCCTCAGGAACAAGGGAATTATAAGAAAGGAGAATTTTTTCCAGATACATCCAGAGAAGAGGCACAGGGACAAATCTAATCCTGTAAGACTATCTGTCCCATCCACAAAATGCTCAACCACCCCATCAGCTGCATCCTGCACCCAAGGTGATGGACTCCCCCCTCGGTCCCACACTTTTGGGGCAAGACACAGCACAAAGTTTATGCTGACGTTTGCCTGACCTCAAGCAACAAGAGCATGAGCCTCCCAGCAGGTCTCAGCCTGGCATGTGTTCTCACTACAGACCCAGCACGCCCGGGCCAGAACACCACCGTGACACTCCTGCTATGGAAACAACCTCGGGCAGGAAACTCCACGTAGTTTTGAGCAAACTCAGGAGGCGAAACACAAGGCATGGAGCTCAGCCTTGAAAGCTGCCCTCCTACCAGCCTGTTCTCCTGAGGCAAATGAGCGTTAAGCATTAATAGCAGGCATGCAGGCACAACCTAAGCATAAGGCCTAAAATTATGGGGTTTGACTTACTTTCCTCTGTTGTGTTTAAGTATCTTTTCTTTGCTATTCCCTACAGATGCATGTGTATACAGCTGTCCCATAACCACAGTCCTGTCTTCAGCAAGGTCCTTAAGGAACCTCTGGTATGCTGTGAAGGAAGAGATGCAAACAGATCCTTGAACACAGGCCAAACCGAGGAGACTTCACTGTCTTACTGGAACCTCCCTTCAGCCTGGGGTGGGTACGACCCTCGGGCTCTGAGGCGAGCCGAACAAGAGCTGCACCCCACACTCATGTCCACACACGCTGCAACCACAGAGTGCTTCCAGGTGACGAGCGGTGTGATGGGAGACACAGTTTAGTACATGAGAAGGGTGTTGAGACAATTACGACCATGCTGGCTCATGATTACAGGGCCAAAGACATGTTAATGCCGGAAAAACCCTGCCCCAGCCCCTAGATTTGATCTCATGGCTCAAGCCTCAGAGGTTCTCAAGTGTGCGTTTCTGGGTGGAGAATTCACCTGCTCTACCCTTTCCCTCCATCTCCTAGATACAAGGCTAATCGCATCCAACATCAGAACACCGCAGCAGCAGCCAGGAGGGCTTCCAACAGTAACTGGTAGTGAGGAAGGAAAGAAAGAAGGAGTTTAAAAGGCACCTAAACAAATGACTATTTTAATCTTATTTTCCAAAGAGCCTTTGCTCCTCCATAAACAACAGCCAGATTCACGAATGCACTTAAGCATCTAATGGCTTATTGATTAAAGGCAGGCACTCGATACTTATTTGGTATCAGGCAAAACGCCTGTTTGGATTAAGACCTAAGTACCTTACAACTCACAGAAAAGGTTTTAAACAGAAAAAACAGTAACCTGCATTAAAAAAAAAGAAATATATATATATAGATTTTTCTAAAAGTTACCTAGGGTAGCTATTACTTCAGGTGTTTTGTGTCCCACAGCTGTCAAAAGTTCTCTATATTTCTGAGAAATTCAAAGAGAAAGCAAGAAAGGCATGTTAAAGTACACACAATTTACTTATTCGCCGGTGATCAACATAGACTTCTACATACTGACCACCTGGTCAGACAGGAGGAGGAATACTCTTGATTCCTTTGGCTCTGCAAATGTTTAAAGACTCACAAAATTTTCATATTGTCATTTCCAGAAAGTCAGTGTTTCTAGTTGCTTTTTCCATTTCTCCCTTTCAAATGGTGTGAAACCACGGGGATCTCTGCTCCATTAAAGTCTCCGTTGTAATAACCTGCACAGATCTCTTTCCAAGGAGAAAAGAGCGGAGAAGATGCCGAAATTGCCTATTGAAAACCAGTTAAAGAAAATTTAACTGACTCTGCTCAGGCGGAGTCGTGTAAACAGCACAACCTTTCCCCTGGAAAATTCCAGTTGCATCTTAATTAGGGCCGACAACGCCGGAAGGTAAACTAAAGCTATACCAAAGTAATGTAGTGTCCTGCCTGTGTTCTGGCCCAAGTTGTCAGTTAGGATAAATACTAAGAGCATTAAGGCCACCGTATTTCACAATCAGAAATACCTTTATAGCAGTTTTCAAAGGATGTAAAACTCACTGAATGGTGACCAAATATAAACGAAGATTAATTCTAGTAAAACCTTCACAGTTACAGGCCATGGGGACAATAAATATGTGATCAGTGGTGCAAGAAGGTTAATGAAAGGAATGACTGCTGGAAAGAAAAAGACTTCTGAAAATGTGTGCTGTCACATCAGAGATGGATTAGATATGGAAAGCCACTACAAAACCAGAGAAAAGTGTCACTGCTAGAACTTAATCAAACAACACGTGCTGATTTTTCTAATGCAGTGGGAAAAGCTGACTTTCAGACTTCAGACACACTGAGCAGAGGCCTTTGCCACCCACTGAAATCCAAAGCAGGCTGTTCCAGACGTCTGCAACAATTTGAGAGAAACCCAGTCCTGTAAACAGCAGCTGAACCCTACAGAAGCCGTCATCTTCTGTCCCTACCAGCAGTATGGCAGGCAGGGGAGACAAGCTCCTTCGCCAGCGACCCACATGCAGGCCAGGCTCGGGCAAGAGAGAAAGGTTTGACTTACTGGCACAGGATTCGGCTGCATCTCTGCCCGCAACACTGAACACAAGACCCACAAGGGAGAACATGGAAGGGGTGTGAATTCAGCAGGCAGCAAATACTTGGCATAGTTATATCCATTTTTAATTAAAGAAGTTAAAAGAGAACTATAAAACTTCAAGACTTGCAACACTAGCTAATAAATACTGTCTCTGATGTTATCTTGTGCTAGAAAATACTGGTTTCCCTCATCATTTCTAACTGAGTTTGAAATTACCATGGCATTTTGATATTTTCCTCCCATCTGCCTCAACACCTTCACACCAGGTCAGCTCTAGGTTGAATCGTCGCCCTCTGCCACTCCAGAGAAGCAACCCGCCAACGCTGCCCTGCCACAGCAGGGATGGCCACACTTCAGAAAGCCGGATCAGCTCATGGACTGCCCAGAGCAGGCAACACACTAGAGACTTCTCACATCTCCAGTCACAGAATCATCGAATAATTAAAGCAGAAGAGACAGAGCCTTGTCAGCAGAGCCTTTTGGCCATCTGTAACACGTGTAGAGCTCCAGGCTGAACCCAGGATACTCGCTCTTGACCAGCATGGATGTCACCAAAAACACAGGAGAAAAGAGGAGGAATAAGGAGAAAAGGGAAGGTTGGCTATGCTATTTGAACTGGGAAAGGAAAGAGAAGTGTAACAAATTCAAAAGAATCTCTGAATTCTTCTGCTTAGCAAGCACTTTTAACTCGGTATTTCAGTGATATGTAAAAGCTCCTGGATGTGAAGCAGCTGCAAGGAGCTCATCAGCAAGACACACGCATGCTCATGCAGAAACCAAAGCTACCAAAAACTCTGAAGTACAGTCAATGGGACCAAATACTCAAGAGTGGGAATTCCACAGGGAAAAGCTGCTGCTGACCTAACTGGAAACGCATAAGATTCAAACAGCCACTAACAAAGCACTATGAACAACCCATCCTTCCTTATCCCTCTGCACATTGAGTGTACAGAACGGCAGCATCTGCAGTAAAAGATATATTTTTATATAATTATATACCAAGTCTATGCCTAACATGGTTTGTATGTTGTGGACACAGCACCTGAGTGCCTCCCACCAAACCCAACTTGCACACTGCTAGTAATTTCTTAACTCAGGCAAGAGGCCCGAATTTCACACTCCAAGAAAAGGCTCTGCCTTTCGTCCCCATCTGACAGAGACCACCAGGGTTGGATTCTTTCTAACAGCCTGATAGAGATGACAGATGCAACTTCTTCCACGAGAAAGGGACTATATGAGAACTGCATAAGGAAAGGACAACTTGAAGGCTATTAACCATAATTATTTTTCCCAGCTGAAAAGGACACAGCAAAATAGAAATTAAAATGTAATCCATTTGAAGGCCCCCCCGCTGACTGCTACGCAATACAAACACTGGGGACTGCCTGAAGCTTAAGCCTCACCCGCACAGCGTCCTTTCCAACAATTCACGTAGCCCTTGTGTGCTGGCACCCATCAGTCCAACCCAGAGACCGACTCTGCTAGAACACCAAGTCAGCTACTGCCTCTTCCAAGCAATTCCCCATGCCCTCGCCCCCCTCACTTGAAAACACACATGATTTCTAAGCAAGTGAAACCACAGTTTGCTACACGTAGAGGTCAACGGATGCATTTAACACTACTTTCAGACATACTCAAAGCACAAATCACACTGTTCATTTGAGGTGACGATGCCATACCTTATCACATCTGGTTCTGTGCCTTCGTTCTTATAAGATGCCTGAAGTTGTCTCTGTCGTGTGAGAAGGTCATCCACCAAATTCTGCCTCCTGTCTCCCTCCAGCTGTGTGCTGATGATACTCGGTTAAGGACCAAACGTCAAAACGCTGAAAAACTTCAATGTTATTGCATAAAAAAATACTTGTTATACATTCTTAAAATAAATCAGATCTCCTGATCATCAAAATTAACTCCAGTAACTATTTTAACTCAAAAAAAAGGCTATAACTTCAGAAGAGAAGGACAGGTCACATTATTCTGAATGAAATCTGCTGTTATTCTAAATGTGTTTCTGAAGTTTACAGATCTCAAAGAGAAAGTCTCCTACAGTGACCACAGAGCAATCTTCAGGTCATCATCTCAAAGCAGTAAGAGAACTAGAAGGCTACTGACTGCCAAATTAGTGTAAGTATTAAGAACAGTACTTCCCCCTCCAAAACCCAACATAACCCTTCTTTCATGTATTACTAAGAAGTCCTAGGCAGTTGACCTCTTCTGTAACACTGATAATGTATAAGAGTACTGCATGGGTTAAGTTCAGGGAAGGATGAGTCGTCTTAAAAGAGCTCCAGTTTATACTGTTATGATATAAAAGTGGCAGGCCCAAACAGAGCAGAGTTTTTGAAATCAGCAGGGTATGTCACATCTTCTTTCACTGGAGGCTCGTAACACAGAGCAGGTGAGCAGCTCCCAGCCAGGTGGTCAGCAAACAATCAAAAGTGTATTTTGAGCATCTGTTTCCACTTGCAGTTCATCAGTAGAACTCCCCGACAGCCACTGACGCAGCAGAAAAATGATTCATGCAATATCTCTGAAAGGTGCCCTGAAGTGCTGCAGCTTCGATGGGCGACATATGTTTGCTTTTTTTTAATTAATCTTTGTGACATTTTGAAGTACTACTAACTCTCTTCCAAGTACTGCTCAGTAGGTTATGCAACAGCTGAACTGATATGCATCTGTGTTGTGCCACAGCAGTAGCATTTGTCTGCTCTCAGGCACTCACTGGAGGAAAGTTTTACCCCTGGCCATCAGCACAGCACTCAGGGGGTCTGTGCTTAGAAGAGATTTCTGCTGTAATAAGCTTGAAATATGAAACATTCATTCATTAAATCAGACTGCTGCTGGCTGTCTTCAGGGAGACGGACATGCTTCTCTGACTCCTTAAGCCTGACTGTCCCAGCATCTGGAAAGAGCAGCAAACCCAGGCCAGGCCACGGGGTAACGCTCCTAGGAGACAGCCTGTGATTCCTTTCTAAGGCGTATTTTACAGCGCTTTCACATCATTCTGAAGACGCTGTTCCATTGCTCCCTAAGTCAGTCCAAGTCAGGGCTGCCCAGTCCCCGCCCGCACCCTGAACAAGGCTCCGTCCTCCCTCTTTCCGAGCACCGGCTCTCCTGCAGCCAGTGGCTGAGCCACCCGACAGTAAAAGACCGGGGTTCTGCTCGACGAGTGATCTCAGCTCACAGAGCAGCCTCTCCGTCAGCCGTGTCGGCACAGTGCACAGCCAAGACAAGGGCAGCTCTGAGATTTTTCAGATCATCTTGTTAAGCTCCGACACAAACATAACCAACGCCAGCCTCACGCCCACCACACCAGAGGTGCCCAGGCTCTCAAATCTTCCTATGCTTACAGCTGCAATGAAAATATTAAACAGCAGCATGGAAAAAGTTCTAGTGACAAAGCCTTCTAAAACTGGAATGAGGGAAAAACCCTAACTGCATGGCAGAGCAATTATAGCACATCTTTCCACCCTCTCCCACAACACAGAAAGGTCAGTGAGCTGTTTACACAGATACATCTGGTGTGTTGACACAGCCCGAAGCAGTAAGTCCTTCAGCTGATCGATCTTCTCTCCGAGATTCTGCAGCGACGATCTGATAATCACGTTGAGCTGAAGGGGAAGAAAGAGATTTTTTTTTTTCCTCCGGTCTGACTCATATTTGCACAAAATTTCATACTACTACATGCAGGTAACAATGTATTTAACTTCAGCTATACCAGTGTGAAGGACTCCATTCTAGACCTAGACAGCCTGCCTCAGAGCAGCCAAGGGAACGACACAGTGAGTGGGTCTGGACTGCTTACAAAATAACGCGATAAACAGGACTAGTTTCGCAAACACAATTCTAAGGCACTAACACTGTTTTATATGGAGAGCTTTCTTTCAAGTCTTTATAAACACACTCCTTTACACGGGCAAAATATTTCAGCACATTTTAATATTTTCCAGTTAGTTTTCCAGTTCTTTCTTCTGATCTCTAACACAAACACATGCGCCAGCTGCTTCTGCCACCAGGTTTCCTGCCCAGCTCCCAGGATTAGGGGGAAGGTTGCTACAGGTTCAGACATTCCCTCCACTGAACTCTTCCAGACTTTACGCTAAAGATCCCAAAGAAATTCAGATTTCCTCCATTTCCCTTCAGAGCAGCACCTATGACTCCCAGCCATTTCTCACAACTGACCTGCCCAAGATTCAGAAGCGTCTGTTCCCACTAAAGAAGTCATTCACATTCTCCCTGCTGCAAACAAGCTGGGGTGCAGGAATCTTCCTCCTCCCTCCCCGCCCATTCCCAAGTTCAGCTGACATTATTATCCCCTCGGTTTTTCCTCCTTAAATATTATTCCTTTTCACTCCAGTTATGCAGAACACACTAGGAAAAAACACTGTAACAGCAAATAACTATGCAAGTCATCCTAATTCAGACCTTATGTGCTCTTGTTTACAAGATATTAGCCCCACTGTGGGCTGTAATAGTTAGCGACCTCAGATGCTCGGCGTGATGAACTAGTAACAGAGCAGGAGTATTTGCTCCGACTCTCTTTCCCGCGTTCTTGAAGCCACAGAGGCAGCAGCCAGACACCAAAGCCTCACGAATGGTCGCTCTGCCGCAAGGATCCTGCCTCGAGCTAAACCGCACTTGGTATCTGCGCAGGAACGGAGCGGGAGTTCCCACAAAAATCACCTGATAGCATCAGAAGTTTAAATCTGCTCTACTCAGTAAGCTTTCCCAAACACTACCAAACATGATCACAGAAAGCAGATGCAACCACGCTGAGGCAGTCTTGAGAGTACACGGCCGAGCCGAGAGCTGCACAATCCACCCTCAGACCCAAAGGCACCGAGCACTGCGGCAACGTCTCCGAAGCCGGGATGGGGTACAAATGCTCTCAGCAGAGCTCAACCCGCGGCACAGCCTCTAGCTCTGCCATCAGGTAACAGAAGGTCTTTTCATTTCACACGTGCATCTCCTGCACTCGTGTCCAGATGGAGAATGCTGCATTTAATCGGCCCAGAACAGCAAAGTACCCTAAAGGTACACACGCCCAAGGAGTCATCTGACAGACTCCCTCTGCTACTCTGGCCAGGAACTGCAGCGCTGTAAGAAAAGATTTCACTTCCCCTAAAGAAAAAAAGAAGTCAATGGAAGTTTTAAAATCAGCTGAAAAGAGCAGAGTTCACAGATGGTAACTGCTGGCTTGAAACCTTTCCGTTGGTGGTTTTTTTTTCCATTTTAAATTTTATGCTCTATTTTTTGCTCAGCGATAAGCAGTAAGTGTTTTTAGCCTTGCTAATGGCAAAATACTATAATAATAAAAGCTTGTTTAAATTCTCCCTACCAGGCAAATATCGTACAAAGACTTTTTCTCCATTAAAACATTCAGGAGTCATAGAATATATCACTGCTCAGCCATGGATTTCTCAACATGCTTTTGTTATGAAAATAACTCGCTCACTGTTGGAAACTTGTTTATAGTAGAACCAAGCACTGCCAAATATTCATCTTCAACTGTTAATGGATTAAAGGGAAACTGCACTCGGAAAACACAGGGCATGGAACAAATGATGTTATGAAGAAATAAGTCAGATGAGTAATGTTTCCATAAAACAGAAGCCAGGAGAGTTACGGTACAAGAAAGGCTTCAAACAACACGAATACGACGTTTTGTTGGGGTTTTCTGGAACACGTCACAGATTGCTATGATGCAAACAGAGAACTTTGTCCTCTATAAATACGGATGGATTAAACCGCAACCTTTTTATGAGCCTTCCATTGCTTAGGCATATATCTGTACGATTTCTAATACTTCATCCTCCTGAAAGCAGGGAGTTTGATCGCCACCTCTAAACACTCCTCTCAGTTCTACAGCTAGAGAAAATATTTCTCTCCAATCCCACTCATCTGGGCCTTCTGAAACCTCTTTACAATTCATGCCAAATTTGAGTCATTCATTAACAAGCACTGATTAGGTACAAAGCTGTTTTCTTCAACCCTTCTTCAAAGGAAACGTTCCAAAAATGACATTTTATTTAAGAAGCTACCAGCAAAGAGAGATACGGCGATTGCGCAGCACATGCCAACCCTGCCATAAAGAGAAGCAGTCTACAAAACAAACCATTCAGTGGGTTTTTCTTGATTATGCAAATTATCACAAAAGACACACTCAGGGCTTGCACGCATTGCACTGAACGCAGTCAAGGGGGAAGTTAATGGCACGATCCCTAGGGTGTGCAATCAAGCAGGCTCCTACACTTCCTGAAGGAAACGACAAGGCTTTTAGTCCGAAAGCAAGCAGCCCTCCAAGAACATTTTTCACCTGGCTTTTAGCCCTAAAGACAGCAGCCCTCTGAGCACCTTTTTATTTTATTCTTTTAAACAGAAAGCATGAAAAGGTGGAGAACATAATATTCCCAGGTAAGCTCTAACTTCTGCTTCTCATTCCTATTTAACTCTGGGCTTGGTTTTTGTTAGAAATGTAGCTAAAAAAGGCCATAAAATTCGAGTTTCACCTGATCTACAGCCATGACAGAGAGGCAGTAAGCCAGCCTGGGGGGGGGGGGGGGGAAAAACCTTTTCATATTTTACCA